AAGGAAAAGAGGCGCGTGAGATGGCGGCGAGGAAAATTTTTCCAAGTAAATTTTTTGCAATCAAACAAGTAAAAAGTAGGAAAATAGAACATGAAAAATTATTGGTATCAAACAGGGCCTAACTTCCTAGCCAATCATCCAATTGAATTGAGACAGGGACAGCTGCGGCGCAACGGGAGAGGAGAATTAGAACAAAAAGTAAAATAAATCAAATCTTACCGCAAAGCTTTGGGTTACCGCAAAGTACATATTTGGTAAATCTCGTAATTGGTGGGGTCCAAAGAATTAAAATCATATTTTAAATAAATTTTGATAAAAATTAAAGAAGCGTATGATTGAAAATTATAAGTCCCATGAAATATGTGACTAAAATTAATTATTAATTAAAATTAAAATTAAAATTTAGAGTTTAATTCATACCAAATAGAGACTCACTTCAAAGGATAATTAGCAACAAATATTCATATCATTTGTACTTATTGTAAAAAAACGTTCCTATTATTTCAAAGTAGATATTTGCACCCACATTTCAACATTTTCTTGCGGAGTTGGTCATTTTTATCTCATTCCGTCAATTCCTTTCGGCAAATACAGATAATTGAAATTTTTTGAGTTAATTAAATTTCCTTTCTTTGTCGATTTGTCTCTTTTGCGTTTTCCTCGTTTCTGTTTGTTTTCATTTTCACTGTGCCCCTGTTTGATTTCCATTTTTGAGTTAGAATGTATTCTGAAATGATGACTTTTTGAGAATGTATGGTTAAAAAGTAAGAAAAATTTTTAAATTACGTATATAATTATTTTAAGATAGAATATTTGATTGAAAATAAATTTTGAAAAAATATCTCAAACAAGGGTCAGACAGGGCTGTTGTATTTGTTTGAACGACTTTTTACACGGTAGAGAAAGATAAGGCCATGATGCTGTACTCAAAGAAGTCGGTGATCAATTCTTTTTGATTTGAAATTAATGGTTGATGACTTGATCGAAAGCGACTCAACTTCAAATCGAATTACGACACAATAATTGTAGAGTGCCCTCTTTCACTTCTATTTTCATTTTTGTCCTCATCTCATATTTATAATTAGAGGTGGCAAATGATTGAGTCGAGCCTGTTCAACCCTTAGACACTCCTAAACAAGCTCACGT